CCCCCCCCCCCCCCCCGTGCTGCCCTGTTTGATGAAGAGGAGATACGTTGTTAGGTTTCTGGCTATGGCACCAAAATCCAGAATCTTGACCAGCTGGTGTGTGTCGGGGTTGAGTGTCGACCTATGAACCTGGTCACTGTTTGATTCCCGATCAGGGCAAATGCCGGATTTCAAGCTCGATCCCTAGTAGGAGGGCATGCAGGAGGCAGTTGGCCAATGATTCTCATCACTGATGTTTCTCTCTCTCCCTCTTCCTTCTTCTCTGAAATCAATTATATATATACTAGAGGCCTGTTGCATGAAGAGATTCGTGCAATAGGTCTTCCCTTCCCTTGGCTGCTGGCACCAGTTTTCCTCTGGCATTATATATATATACATTAAAAGATTTTAAAAAACCCACTGGAATCTTAAACTGTTCCTGGACCCCCAAGGGCAAAAATATCTGGATGACATTAAAATGTGAGGAAAATAGCTTTGCGATGAAAAGTCATGCCTGTGTGTGTGTGTGTGTGTGTGTGTACAGATTTTGCTGGCATGTGTCAGTGTGTTGGGTACAATGCTCTCCACACAACAGTAGCCATAATGCTGCTACTTGCATTGTCTCCACGACCAGACCTTGCCGGGAGTTCCCTGGCTTGGTAGTGGCTACACAGCATGCGGTGCTGACACAGATGTTGTCGGCAAGTCTGAGCAAAGAGGGAACGAACACAGTGATGGGTAAGTGGTGACCCACAGGAATGGTCACAAGGCCCGTGGCAATCAGCCTCATCCACGTCTTCCCAATCTCATCCCTCCTCTCCTCACTGCCGGGGCTGGCATTCAGACCATCAGCTCTTCTCTCAAAGATTTACAAAAACAACACTGTAATCTTAAACTATTCCTGGACCCCCAAGGGCACAAATATCTGGATGACATTAAAATGTGAGGGAAATAGCTTTGCGATGAAAAGTCATGCCTGTGTGGGTGTGTGTGTGTGTGTGTGTGCATGTGTGTACAGATTTTGTTGGCATGTGTCAGTGTGTTGGGTACAATGCTCTCCACACAACAGTAGCCATAATGCTGCTACTTGCATTGTCTCCACGACCAGACCTTGCCGGGAGTTCCCTGGCTTGGTAGTGGCTACACAGCATGCGGTGCTGACACAGATGTTGTCAGCAAGTCTGAACAAAGAGGGAACGAACACAATGATGGGTAAGTGGTGACCCACAGGAATGGTCACAAGGCCCGTGGCAATCAGCCTCATCCACGTCTTCCCAATCTCATCCCTCCTCTCCTCACTGCCGGGGCTGGCATTCAGACCATCAGCTCTTCTCTCAACCTCCTAAACCAGTGATGGCGAACCTTTTGAGCTCGGCGTGTCAGCATTTTGAAAAACCCTAACTTAACTCTGGTGCCGTGTCACATATAGAAATGTTTTGATCTTTGCAACCATAGTAAAACAAAGACTTATATTTTTGATATGTATTTTATATATTTAAATGCCATTTAACAAAGAAAAATCAACCAAAAAAATGAGTTCGCGTGTCACCTCTGACACGCATGTCATAGGTTCGCCATCACTGTCCTAAACCCACTCCCCCATCCTCCTCCACTGGCCCCAGCCTGGTCTTTCCAGAACTTGAATATGAGGCAGTTACTCACAAACTCATGGGACTTGCTGTTGCCCCAGCTCGTTGGCATGCCAGCCCCACTTTGCCCTAAGTCCATCTCTCTGTCCCTCCGCCTCCGTTCCAGCCACACAGGACCTCTCAGCATTCCCCAAAGCTTGCCTGTGGGCGCCTGCCTCTGTGTGCACTGTGCCTTCCCGCCCCTTCCATATGGTGAGCTCCCCTCACCTTCCACGTCTCCTTCACATCTCCCACTTCCTGTGCGTCAACTTGGCTAAACGACAACACCCAGTTATTCAATCAAACATGAACATAGGGGTATCTGAGAGGGGTGACTTTCAATAGAGATGAGCTTCGGTAATCTGGGTGGGCCTCACACGGTCAGTTGAATGGCCTTAGAGCAGTGGTTCTCAACCTTCCTAATGCCGCGACCCTTTAATACAGTTCCTCATGTTGTGGTGACCCCCAACCATAAAATTATTTCCGTTGCTACTGCATCACTGTAATTTTGCTACTGTTATGAATCGTCATGTAAATATCTGATATGCAGGATGTATTTTCATTGTTACAAATTGAACATCATTAAAGCATAGTGATTCATCACAAAAACAATATGTAATTATATATGTGTTTTCCGCTGGTCTTAGGCGACCCCTGTGAAAGGGTCGTTCGACCCCCAAAGGGGTCGAGACCCACAGGTTGAGAACCGCTGCCTTAGAGCAAAATTGAGTCTTTTGGAGGAAAATGATTCTGCCTCAAGTCTATAGCATCAGCCCCTGCCCAGACTTTCCAGCTTGCTGGTCTACCCTACAGTGTCTAAATTCTTCCCTCCCCCCACTCCCATTCTGCTCTGTAAAAACTCCATCCTATATACTAGTAAAATGTCTAGATATTTGATAACCTTTGCCCTATTCATGTATCATCATCCATTCAGACCAACTTTTCATTCCAGTTTATGAGCCACCTTTACAGAGACACCTCCTCTATGGACGAGTATATCCGCTACATCTGGTATCAGAATCCTACTTGTCTAAGGATTGGGCTAAGGGGGCGCGGGGGGGGGGGGCGTGTCACCTCTGACACGCATGTCATAGGTTCGCCATCACTGTCCTAAACCCACTCCCCCATCCTCCTCCACTGGCCCCAGCCTGGTCTTTCCAGAACTTGAATATGAGGCAGTTACTCACAAACTCATGGGACTTGCTGTTGCCCCAGCTCGTTGGCCCTGCCAGCCCACTTTGCCCTAAGTCCATCTCTCTGTCCCTCCGCCTCCGTTCCAGCCACACAGGACCTCTCAGCGTTCCCCAAAGCTTGCCTGTGGGCGTCTGCCTCTGTGGGCACCATGCCTTCCCCCCCTTCCATATGGTGAGCTCCCCCTCACCTTCCACGTCTCCTTCATGTCTCCCACTTCCTGTGCGCAATGGTTGGTTTTATGTGTCAACTTGGCTAAACGACAGCACCCAGTTATTCAATCAAACATGAACGTAGGGGTATCTGAGAGGGGTGACTTTCAATAGAGATGAGCTTCGGTAATCTGGGTGGGCCTCACACGGTCAGTTGAATGGCCTTAGAGCAGTGGTTCTCAACCTTCCTAATGCCGCGACCCTTTAATACAGTTCCTCATGTTGTGGTGACCCCCAACCATAAAATTATTTTCGTTGCTACTGCATCACTGTAATTTTGCTACTGTGATGAGGCGTCATGCAAATATCTGATATGCAGGATGTATTTTCATTGTTACAAATTGAACATCATTAAAGCATAGTGATTCATCACAAAAACAATATGTAATTATATATGTGTTTTCCGCTGGTCTTAGGCGACCCCTGTGAAAGGGTCGTTCGACCCCCAAAGGGGTCGAGACCCACAGGTTGAGAACCGCTGCCTTAGAGCAAAATTGAGTCTTTTGGAGGAAAATGATTCTGCCTCAAGTCTATAGCATCAGTCCCTGCCCAAAACTTTCCAGCTTGCTGGTCTACCCTATAGCATCTAAATTCTTCCCTCTCCCCACTCCCATTCTGCTCTGTTAAAACTCCATCCTATATACTAGTAAAATGTCTAGATATTTGATAACCTTCGCCCTATTCATGTATCATCATCCATTCAGACCAACTTTTCATTCCAGTTTATGAGCCACCTTTACAGAGACACCTCCTCTATGGACGAGTATATCCGCTACATCTGGTATCAGAATCCTACTTGTCTAAGGCGGGGGGGGGGGACTAACATTTATAAACACGCCACCTCCTTTACATACGTTATGCCCTTTCCTCATTGCGAAGACCTGGCGTAGCCCGAGTTGCTGCCTGTTTTACAGATGAAGAAAGCGAGGCTGGGGGACAGACGCTGGCGGAAGGTCAGAGCAGCTAAGAGAGCCACGCTGGTCTACACGGGCCCACACTTTTTCATCTGCTGCGGTGCCTTCCAGAAAGTGGCCAGTGGCACAGTTACCCGCGTCGCCGTAAAGCAAATGTGAGCAAATAGTGTTTCATGCACTTCCCCGCCAGGCCACTCCCGTTAATTACATTTACACATACAGGAGGAAGCTTTGGCTCAGGTAACACCTTCACTGTAAATCGGATAAGGCCCCGCACGTACACGGGTTCTTGACTCACTTTTGTCTCAGTTCATTTCCTTGTCCGGAATGATGAGCTCAACAACACAGGGGAGTCTCCAGGGAGAAGATGATAAAGCTAAAATGAAAAGACACAAGAAACCTCTTAAATACCCTCAACATCGATCACTTAAAACTGCCAAGTCTAGTCAATATTGAAAACTCACAAAAGGTGATCGCAGCTAGATACTGGAACTCGGGGCCTATCTCCACCCAGTGAACTATGTGGTATGGTATCGTTTTAATCTCATATAATTCATCAGGATTAACTTTGTAAGACCATGGGGCAGTGGTTCTCAACCTTCCTCATGCCGCAACCCTTTCATACAGTTCCTCATGTTGTGGTGACCCCCAACCATAAAATTATTTTCGTTGCTACTTCATAACTGTCATTTTGCTAGGGTTATGAATCGTCATGTAAATATCTGATATGCAGGATGTATTTTCATTGTTACAAATTGAACATAATTGAAGCATAGTGATTAATCAGAAAAACAATATGTAATTATGTATGTGTTTCCCGATGGTCTTAGGCGACCCCTGTGAAAGGGTTGTTCGACCCCCAAAGGGGTCACGACCCACAGGTTGAGAACCGCTGCCATGGAGGCTTTTATAGCTGCATTATTCAACCTTTCAGAAGAAAAGGAGCAATGTTTGTTTTTCCTTATTAATGGGATGCATCAAATTTCCCTGTTTCTTTAAATTTGCCTGAGCTTGACATACCCTTGTAGTTAGCTACCTGAGGTAGAATGTCAAAACTAGCTTTGGGATTATTATAAAGCTTGGTACGACCACAGGCCTTTTTGAAAATATATCCTATCTTGACAATGCATGAAGCCTTAAAAGTTTAATGAACACATGTCAGAATGTGTTTCTTCTAAAAAGTGATACAGGAACAATCAGTTCGTATGTCCTGTGTCTAACATCTTAACCCTTAAGAGAAAGAGGGACACATTTTACATCTTCCCATGACTTAGGCTAACTGAAATTTGATGTTTTAAAACTGAAGCACATATAACCTAATACAAAAAAAAATTGAAGCATCTTACTGTTTTAGTTCACTTATTAATTTATAGACTATTGGTTTACCTAGTTCATATCATTAGGTCAGTGGTTCTCAACGTTGGCTCTGAGATGAGGCCCAGAAGTTAGGATTTTAAAAAGATTCCCAGGTGATTCTAATGTGCAGCCAAGGTTGAGAACCACTGGTTTAAAATCTCTAGATAGCTCCTTTATCTTCTGGGAAATGCGGTTAACTGTGTCTTTATCCCCTGCACGTGTTTTTGTACATAACAGGTGAGAAAACACATGTATAGACATGCTGGTAACTAAGGGGTCATGCTAAAGGTTTATTTTTAATTCGTTCACACCGTATTTTTCAAAGAATATACATGTACAAAAAACAACAAGAACCCTCACCGGTTTGGCTCAATAGATAGAGCGTCGGCCTGTGGACCGAAGGGTCCCGGGTTCGATTCTGGTCAAGGGCACATACCTCCATTGCAGGCTCCTCCCTGGCCCAGGCCCTGGTTTGGGCACATGCAGGAGGCAACCAATTGATGTGTTTCTCTCACATCAATGTTTCTCTATGTCTTTCCCTCTCTCTTCCACTCTCAACAAAAGATCAATGGAAAAATGTCCTCAGGTGAGGATTAACAACAACAACAAAACCAAAAATGTAAAAAACAAGAAAAAAATAAGAAAAAGGGCCATTAAGTCTTATCTTAGCCTTCTATCTTATTCAAGGTTCTCTTTCCCTTTAGTCTTGTTTTCTCTGCTCGTATAGAAACACACCCACATGCGTGATTCCAATGGCTTACCAGCATTCCACATATCAATTTTACGTCATGAAATAAGTCCCTATTACATATTCAGCTTCTTTCTATTATCATGTTTTCGGGAATGATACGATGATAACCTGTGCAAACGGACCTTCAGACACAGCTCCGACGACTTCCTAAAAGTGACATTGCCGAGCGAAAGGGCACGCATATTTGTGAGGGTTTTGCTACCTGTTTCCAAATTGCCCTCAAGAAACATTTTCTAATTTACGCTCCGCCAGCAACGGATGGGGGTGCCCCTCCCCACGCTCCTGTCAACACCAGGCAGTTGCATGATTTTCAATCTTAATAAGATGTTATTGCCATTATTATGTACATCTCAATCGTCCTGGTAGCCTTCTTTCTCTGTGTTTCTTTTTCCTTTTTTTAAAAAAATATATTTTATTGATTTTTTACAGAGAGGAAGGGAGAGGGATAGAGAGTTAGAAACATCGATGAGAAAGAAACATCTATCAGCTGCCTCCTGCACACTCCCCACTGGGGATGTGCCCGCAACCAAGGTACATGCCCTTGACCGGAATCGAACCCGGGACCCTTGAGTCTGCAGGTCGATGCTCTATCTATTGAGCCAAACTGGTTAGGCCCCCCCCCTTTTTTTTTGGTCCTTTCTCACCTACTTGGGGAGAAAATGCCGGATGTGAAACTGTCACTCTTTGAACCAGAACTCCTTTCTCCAGGGGCTCAGAGAGCTGATTCATAAGGAAACGTGGTCCGAGCTCCATAATTTTAAACGTCTCAATTACTCCCGGCCTCTTGCAGGCCCCGGGCCGACAAGGTTGCCCAGCAGCCTGGGGAGGACGTGAATTGTGCGGCCTTTGCTTTTTATTCCCTCTGGCGGCCTGCGCCTCTGGGATGTCTTTGAGATGGTGGTTCATGCTTCTTGTAGCTCAAGTTACTGATCAGGGGAGCAACAGGGAGCGCTTGCCACGGCAGGGAAAGGTGCTCTTACCTGAGCCTGCAGCCAGCGTCCGAGGGGCCACTCACACTTCAGAGGGTCTTGAGTCCTGTTGTGCGTGACATACCTAATCCTGAAACGGGGGGGGGGGGGGGGGGGGGTTGATGTCAGTTGGGAAACCAGGAAAAGCTAAGACTTCATGAACTAAAGGGAAGTATTATAAGACACGTTGACAGTCATCAAAAAATGTTTTGCTTTGGGAGTCATAGGCTGCTCCTCTGTTAAATTTTAAGCTCAACCAATTCCATCTATAAGAATGTATTACAGCCCGGCTGGTGTGGCTCAGTGGTTGAGCATGGACCCGTGAACCAAGAGGTCACGGGTTCAATTCTCCGTCAGGGCACATGCCTGGATTGCAGGCTCCATTCCCAGTAGGGGTTGTATAGGAGGCAGCTGGTAAATATTTCTCTCTCATCAATGTTTCTATCTCACTATCCCTCTCCCTCCCTCTCTCTCTAAAATAAAAAAAAATAAAAAAAGAATGTATTATGAACGTGTGTCCGCTAAGACCACTGTGTTAAGCAATAGTACAGTTCACCCAACTCCCCAACTCTTCTGGGAGAATGGACAGATGGACGGGTTGAACTTGGCATCTTGGAGTTGGGTGGGGCCCTGTGATTGCCTCTGTGGGACCCTCCCCTCTGCCTGGAGGACAAGAAGCACTCCAGGTCCCCAAGTGGGGACAACACAGAGCAGAGCCTGCAGACAGCCACAGCAGCAAAGGAAGCAGATATGAGGAAACCGACATTGCTTTGCAACCCTGAGATTTTTCAGTAACCATTTTCCTAACAATTTGTTACTGCAGCTTACCCTAGCCCATCCTGACTGATACAGATATTTTGGAGGGTTTTACTTCCCTAGTGAATATTTAATGACACCTATGAACCTTACAAAAAAATAAAAATCGTCATTGATTATAGGCAGAATTAAATCTCTGATTAAGAAGACATCCTATATAATAAAAGCCTAATATGCAAATCGACCGAATGACAGAATGACAGGTCTCTATGATGCACACTGACCACCAGGAGGCAGACGCTCAACACAGGAGCTGCCCCCAGCCCGCAGGCCCCAGGCCAGCCAAGGTGGGTGCCAGTGGGGGCCTCCCAATCGCCCCGCCGGTCACCCCGCAGATTAGCCCTGATCGCCGGCCAGGCCTAGGGACCTTACCCGTGCACGAATCTTGTGCACCGGGCCTCTAGTTCACTTATAATTAAGAAGCAAAATATGTTTTCTGCTGTTGCCCTGAATTTTTTTTTTCTTTTTCCTTTTGTTTTCATGTTTTCCTTTTCCCTATTGGTTTTAATTAATTTTGCCCTAGATTCATGGGCTTGGTGAACCCGACAATTTTTAAATTTAAATGAATAAGAAGAGCCTGCAGGTTTTGCCCAGGCTCCCAGGCTTTAATATTAAATTACTGCTTTCTGGCAGGATCATCTGCAAAACTCCCGATTTTGTTTCTCCCTCTGTCCCCATCCCCATCATTGCGGCTGAACTCCCTTGTCTCTAATACGCTGTATATTTCCCACCTGGCAAAGGACTCGGAACAGATACAGATCATAAATACCCCGTAGACACAGAGAAACCGCTGTAATTGCTTTCGTAATGACTCCGAGACATCAAAGGCAGGCAAATAATGGTATTTAACACCGGTTCCATTCTTCAGCTGCAATGTAATTTTATAGAGTCATTGTCAGGCGCCACGACGCGCGGTACAAGTACGACTGTCATATTCCGCTCATGTTAATGAGCTGCCCAGGAGAGGGCCAGGCGCAGGGGTGGCCAAGTTCTCCTCGTTTCCGATGGCCTGATGCTCAGACAGAAGCAGGAGTGCCCTGGCTTGATTAACATAGTTGCTTAGATCAGGTTTTCCCCGGGAGGATGTCAATTGGCATTTTGAAGAATCAATTAATTAGCACTCCACATAATCTATTCTTGGGTGAAGGGAAGTGTTTTGTGCAGTTGCAAATAAAAAAAAAAATTACATGAAGGAAAACGAAAGCTTTCCAAAGTGGCAATGAAGCACATTTATCTCGGGAGAAATGCACTGTCCGTTTCAAAACGCCCCCCAAATACACGCATTCTTGGAAAGCCAGGAAACTGACATGCGCAGTCTTGAACCACAGTGGGGGGCCATCTCGGCTTAGAACAGTGATGGCGAACCTATGACACGCGTGTCAGAGGTGACACGCGAACTCATTTTTTTGGTTGATTTTTCTTTGTTAAATGGCATTTAAATATATAAAATAAATAGCAAAACTATAA